GCGGGCCTCTCACTGTTGTGGCCTCTCCCATTTGCGGAGCACAGGCTCCGGACGCGCAGGCTCAGCGGCCATGGCTCACGGGCCCAGCCGCTCCGCGGCATGCGGGATCCTCCCGAAACGGGGCACGAACCCGCGTCTCCTGCATCGGCAGGCGGACTCTCAAGCACTTTTGCAGTTTTTAACATGAATAGCTTGGTAAAACACCTACTAAGGGGGCAAAAAAACGCCACACTTCGGAATGGCTTAAGCTCCACACAGCCTACACCAAGCTACAGAAAGCCTTCTTAAGCTTTTTTTCTAAGCTTGGACATGATTACCGTCTGTCGCGATTCCACCGTCCTTCCAAAGAATGTGGTTCTGATGAGTAAAAAGCACTTTTTGACATGTCTGGCTTGATTGCACACACACGCTTCGACTTACTAAAGTTTAAAGTTGCACAAGAACTTTATTAACACCACCCACAGGCCTTGTAATCCCTTACTTGACAGTGTGGTGCAAGCACTAGTGGACTTTCAGAGCATCCCAGTTTCGCTCCACATCCTGAAAGAGTCCCTTTGGCTCCTATCCTTGTATACAAACTTGTCAATCTGCAGGGCCATAAGAAGGTTCCACTGGTTGGAGCCTTCACATAACTCAGGAGAACTGCCTTTTATCTCCTCTCAGGCTTGAAAGACTTGGACCTGAATAAGACGACTTATCTGAAACTCCAAATTCACGCGAGTACCTGAAAATAGACATTGTCTGAGTGAGGCTGCTATGTTGATGAACAAGTGGGAGGGAGAGGGACTGGTGTCTCCAGGAAGATGCCAGCCCACACGGGGTTGGGAACGGGGTTAGGATAAGATGCAAACGAACTCCCTTCTCTCTGCCGACTCATTTGGTTGCCATCTCTTCTGCAGTGGAATGATGCCCAGCAAAAGCAAGGAGTCTGTGGCATCTGAAGGCTCAAACCAGACGAGCGGCTACCAGTCGGGGTATCACTCCGATGACACGGACACCACTGTGTACTCCAGCGAGGAGGCGGAACTTTTAAAGCTGGTAGAGATTGGACCGCAAGCTGGCAGTGCAGCTCAGATTCTCCAGCCTGACACTGGGATCACACTGAGTTCCCCTCCTGTTTAAAAGGAGGCACCCACGTCCCCCAGTCCTGGAAATCACATGAGAGGTGCTGCTCAGATTTTCAAGTATTGTTCTTTCCACCACCAGAAAGTAGCCACATTTGATTTTCATTTCAAAAGCAAGGACCTCGGACTGCAGGGAGGCAGTCCTCTAGGCATTTCCTGAGAAGATGCTTGTGACCCGAGAATGTGTTTGTGGCTTCTCCCGGTGTTGACCTTATTCTTTTAAAAATTCATTTAAAAAGCATGTCTGATGCCCCCTAATGTGGGTCACCCCAGGGGTTACAGCAAAAGAAGTTCAAGAAATGGCTTCATCCTCCAAGAAGTAAGCAGTACCAGGGGAGTTGACACCTCTGTAAAACTAGAAGATAAACCAGCCAATGGAAGTGCTTTAGGTGTTGAAGATGGGAAAGACCTTTAGGGCTGAGTCCATCTAAGAAGCTTTGTTTAGGAGATGGGTCCTGAGCCAAGTCTTATGTGTGGGGAATGGACTGATGGAAAGGAAGATGCTGGCTTGCTTTGAGGATGCACTGGAGCCTGCACATGCATCGCGTTGGCTCCGGTGGAGGTGGACATAGGGTCTGTTAGGAAACGTAAAGGCTTCGTACGAGGTGACTGGTTTTAGAAGGTTGCGTGCTCTTCCCATTTGGGCTAAATGAGAGTTCCTTGTGCTGTTTCCGACTCCTAATGAGAGTTCCTTCCGGACTCTTACGTGTCTCCTGGCCAAGCCCCAGGAAGGAAATGATGCAGCTCTGGCTCCTTGTCTCCCAGGCTGATCCTTCATTCAGGACACCACAAAGGAAGGACACTCAGCCTCTCTGTCGCGTCGAAGATTTCTGACTGTGTAAACCAGCTTCTGGTTCCTTCTGGATGAATGCCGACGTGTCTGTCCTGATGTGATATGTCTGAGCCTGAATGCAGGAGATTCAGTATCAAGCTGTGGTGTCAAAGCTTCAGGAAGAATATTACTCGCTTGTTCCTTCTCCCCTCTCCACGCCTTCCCCCTCCCTTCAGTACTTTCCTGACCTCCCAGCCAGTCAGTGTTCTAGTAATTTGGCCTGTAAACCCTAGTGAAAGCTGGTTTGGTTTGTTCACTGAGTAATTATTAGCCAGATTTCAAAATTACTTTGTAGCCAAAGTTATAACAACTATTGTATTACTTAGACTTTTAACATGTAAAGCTCTTTCTACTGGTTTCTGCCCTTGTTCTTCCCTTTTTAAAAAAGAAAATGTATTTTTCGTTTGGTACCATAGTGTGAGATTCTGGGAACCATGACTATAAAACATGCTATGGCACATATATTTATAGTCTGTTTATGTAGAAACAAATGTAATATATTAAAACCTTGTATTATATATAATGAACTTTGTACTATCACATTTTGTATCAGTATTATGTAGCATAACAAAGGTCATAAAGCTTTTAGCAATTTGATGCCATTTTATTAAAAAAAATAAGTGGAAAACTTGAAGTAATCCCTTTGCAAGGTTGCATCACTGTGACTATCATTTCTCTCACTTCTAGAATGGAGGAGGGGGAATCAGACATCATTTCCATATGGCTGTTTTTTATTTTCACTTGTTCCCTTATTCTTCTTATGAAGGATATTTTCATGAAATGTTTATATACTTTTTAAACCAATAAATGTATTCTTAGTAAAAAAAAAAAACCAAAACAAACAAACAAAAAAAACAATGGTATAATACTATCACAGCTGCTTTGAGGGTAAATATTTCCGGCTTAAATGCTTCTCCCCCTCCTTCATTACACAAATACTTCACACACACATGCACTCTTGTTAAATTCCAAGCACTTCTGAGATTCTTAAAACATGGACTGAGAGATACCTGATAAATACTCCAACAGTATTTGTGGCTCGCTAGTAACCCCTGTGCCTGTTAGAACAGCCAACCGTGAAAATCATGGGGCGAGAGATCCCGAGACAGGTGGCCAGACCTGGCAGTGCAGGGAAGCATGGAACATATCTATAGTCTTCAATAATGCTTTACTCTATCCTTGCAGTGTCAGAACCTCAGATCCAACATTGCCGTTTTAAATGATTACTTTTGCCTGAATTCAGTGAGTGGAATTATCCAAAGATCATTGGCACCAAAGTGTGGTCCTACTCTTTCTTCGTGGGATTTTTTTTATACAAGATTTTGAAACGTTTATATCATCAAAAGATATGCCTATTATTTTTTTAATGTCTTCTAGGTTTTTCAGTCCTATTGATGAAGGTCTTCCCGATTCTAAAATAATGCACAATTCTAAATTGCCTTCCTTCTCTTATTACATTTAAAGCCATTTGGGATTTATTTTTGTATATGGAGTGAGGTAAGGACCTGGCTTTGTTTTCTTCAAGCGTCTGTCCATCATGGCAGCATTGTTTATTAAATATACCTCTTTTCCTCTGTGCTTGGGGAAATACACACTGTACCATTTTTCAAACCCTATCATCTCACTGAGATATTCTGCACAACTTTATGATGGAAAAGAGGGTGGCTCCGGGTGTGTGTGGTTCCTGGGCACTGCACTTACAGATTGGGCCATTGGCTGGAGTTAGTGGAGTAGGGTCCTCTGACAGATGTTAAACTGTAGGTCACGCCTGGTCTTGTCTTTCCCATTGTTACAGTGTTGTCCAGTAAATGAATGGCAGCAGAGTCTAGGTTATTCAAGATGGAGAAGACCTCATAGACAAACGGAATGTTCTTCACTTTAGGGAAAAGAGATTTTGTTTCTCATAAGCGGCCCCTGGCACTGTTTCCAATGCCAGGAAATTGGATTCATTTGAAACTTCACACTTCATAAAGAAATGCTTTCAGCACCTCAGGAAGAATAATTAGGAGGTGAGGTCTGGCCCTCTCCTTCTCTTTTCTGTTTTCCACACCCCTTGTTCTTAGCTCCTTTTCTCGCCTCATTTGCCCCTGTACTGAAGAGAACGTTGTAGCTTTTTAAAGTGCTTCTTGCACCGTCTTATTTTCAAGGCTTTCACTGAAGGTATTTGGTGTTTTGGGTGAGGCCAACTGTCTCCCCCTGGCTCCTGACATCTCTCATTCTCTCCCTTGGCTTGCTTTGTTCTTCTCGCTCTTCTCAAACCCCTTTGTCCCTTCTTCTTCTGTTTCTCTCTTTCCACGAGACTTCCTCTCCTGTGAACCCTCCCCCCAGCAGCCTTTCTCCTCAACCACATCACAGGAGACAGGAGAGTGGTGGGAAGTGTAAGTTCATTACCCCTGGACTAACTAATCCTATCAATGTCTGTTTCAATGAAAGAAGAAAAGTAAAAATCTCAAATCCACGACTTTGTAGTTAACCCATTTTCCTGTCTCCCCTAGTATGTCTTTCTTTCTGCCGCTCACTCAGATATTCATCGCCCACATGGTAAAATGTAGGCAAACCCAGAAAGCTTAAGCCTTTCAGTGAGTAGCTCTTGATATAAATCTTTCCACATTTGTGTGCCCTTGTCCCTTAGGGATAGTAGGCATGTCATGTCCATGCTTTCGGGTAAGGAGTGAGCACAGATCAAAGGGGGTTCCAATCTGTTTTTATAAAATTGCATTTTCTGCACGAGTCCCTCCCACGTAAGGATTTAGACATAAGTGGAAATCTGGGCAGTCTTCGTGAAACCAATATTAAGTCTGATTTTGGACGGGGAAAGTTACAGAATGCTTCTAGGTAATGGAGGTTAAAAAGGTAAAATAAAGCCATTTGCTCTAGTTTTGATCAGAATGGAGAGAATTACAAGAATCTGGGAGGAGCAACTCAGAGAGAAATGTAAGTTGGCCCGAAGTTCTGGAGCTACATACCAGGCTCAGCTGAGGTCTGACTCAGAGATAAGTGCTCTGAGTTAGGAAAAAAGTATTCTAAGGAAGACTATTGATAAGACAAGTATGGCAGTAAACTATGACAGATACGTGACGAGTGAATGTTAATGAGAGGACATCAAACTGTATCTTAGATTTTATTTTCTTTACAACACAGCATATGACCTTTATGTGACTTCTTGATACCTGTAGAACAACATTACATTCAATAGTTTCACTCATAGTTTTTGGTTTAGAAATAAAAGAATGAAAACATATGGTTTGATTTTTTTCTGTTAGTCTCACCTTTTGTTTATTCCGAGTACTTTAGAAGCCATGATCAGTGTACTTACCAGTAACTGGTGACAGCGTACCCCCATACTATACTTTAATTGCTAGAAGCTCTCAACCTTTAGATACACTGGAATAGAAAAAGGGCAGGGAATAGGAAAGCAGTCCCTCGCTCCAGCTGTATTCCATTCTTTGCTCTCTGTCCTCTCCCTTCTTCAGGGAGTGACGTTTGTGGGGGGCAGAGAGTGTGGAATAAAAGTCCAGGAAAGTGGGTTGAGTTCTTCAGCGTGAAGGATACTCTCAGTGGCAGACTCTGATCCCGTGTGTACTTCAGAGGATATGGGGTAAGAAATGACTCATCAAGAGCCCTCTGAACCATTGTTATGGGGAGAGGTTTCATGGCAGCCTGGTGCTTTGCATGGAATCTCTTTAAGCTGAATGTCTTATCCTGATAAAGGGGATTGAAAACATTCCGTTCATTGCCACGGAGAGAACAGAAATGGAAATGAAAACCCAGACGCAAAGTAGAGAATTCAGGCTGGTTACATAGTGAGCAACAACATTCCACATTCATCCCCCAAGGTAACAAGGAAACTGGCAGACAGGAATCCTGCAGCACATAGTGGGGAAAAGCAAGGCCCTCCAGAGAAATCAGGTACCAAAGATTCAGCCCTTAACACTAAACTTTAAGCAAGTAATATTTATTTGTTTGCTTATATTTAACTGTATGTTAAAAATGCTACATTGTGCCAGACACTCTTTTGAAAAGAGTTTATTAATATTAACTCATTGAATTAATCGGGACCCTAAAGCAAGATGTAGGCATCACACTGTAGATTGGGTGGCAGTCTCCCCCTTTTATGTAGGAGACATGAAGGGATCCTCACTGATGGTTTCTACAAATGTTTGTTA